GCCCTCTCGGGTGGCTGGGGATCTTTTGGAAGGGGGGGGCAGCAGTTGCTCTTTATTTCTTACAAAATCCCTTTAAAAAAATTGTTCCTTTTCCCTGGGTCTGTACAGGAGTCTTTCCAACTTTCCTCTCTAAAAAGTTTCCTTGACGGTATTAACTTTTTTTTTTTTTTTTTTTTTTCCGAAAACTACATTCTCCCTTTTTTTTTCCCCTCCCTAATTTCCGAAGGTAACAGCAGGCGAGTGGCTTTTTCTCCTGCTGAGGTGTTTGCTGCAAAAGCGGGTCTCCGTGGCGGGGAGTGTGTGTAAATCGGTGCAGCCTGAACAAAGCCGCAGCAGCAATTGCTTCGCTGTGGGATATTTGGAGGGGATCTCGCTGATCTGTGCGCTCCGGCTGGTATTAAACAGAACCAAAATGGAGAAGTTGGTTCTGACTTAGAAATAATATTCCCGTCTCCCTGCCCCGCAGCCCCAGCCTGCAGGGTTGGCATCAGACCATCCGCAGCCAGAAATCAGGCTGATTTTTCTTTTTTTTTTTTTTTTTTTTTTCTTTTGAGAAGGGAAAGTTTGTGCAGTTAGGTTTAGGAGGGAGGGAAATCTGCCTGGGTGATTTTTACAGCGCCGTTTGCGGTTGTAATCCCGGGAGATTGATGAACGAAAGGGATCAACAAGATGCACCTCTATTCTAGCTATACCAGGAGAGCGGCAATCTTATTTTACTGCAAGGAATCGTCACCAGCTGGTGATGAACCGAGGTCCCCTGTGCCTCAGACACTTCGATCCTGCGTGGAGCTGAGCTCGGTGGGGCTAGGTCGTGCGTGGGGAGCACCGCGGGCCCCAGCGCTGCTCTGCAAAGGGCTCAGGAAGCAGGGGATGTGCTAAGGATTTTCTGACAAAAAGCAGAAGTGTCACCGGAGGAGGGGAAAAAAAAAAAAAAAAAAAAAAAAAAATGAAACAAAACAAAGCCCAGCAAGGGAAACCGTTCTCCTGTCGGCTCCCACGAGAACCTGTGCCTTGCTCTCCGGAACAGCCGTAAAATCGCAGGGAAAACAAAGGTGGTATTTTGCGATGGTGGGTGAGGGGTGGGGATTAGGTCATGCTGTGGGGGGGATCCGAGCCTGGCTGCTCTGCGAGTGAGGACTGCGAAATCCCGGGTCAGGCATGCCGCTCACAATGCGAGCTTGAGTGGTGAAGTTTCTGTCCCCAGTCCTCTTGCTGCCGTGTCTGTGTGCTTTCTAACGCTCTGGCTGC